GATAAATGGGAAAATTCGACCTTGGCATTGAGCCTCTTTTCGGGCCATTAATATGTCTATTCCTTTGTCACGCAGAAAATCCTGGCCTAATACAACATCTACATTTAATCCATTCAATTTCTTTGCTAGCCAAATGGGATGATGGAATTCTTCGGGCCCACCCAAGTCAATTTCCATTTCAAAACAACCCACTGTCCCAACCTCATGACCCGTGATACCCACTAGTAACTGATTTGTCTTCAATTCCCACAATGACCTCAAAATCTTAACACGGAATATGTCAGACCTTGCTATGCTCACCTTTGCACCTGAATCTAACAATATCCTACAATCTATTCCACACACACGTCCCTTCAAAATTGGAGCCCCCTCCTCCTCTTCCCTGCCGTAGCTTATTGTCGGGAGGAAGAGGGGTTTTCCTGGTTTCCCAAATCCTTATCGATGTCTCTCCACAAGCAATCCTTCTTCCAATGGTCAGGGCTACCGCACAGGAAACATCCTTGCTGAATTCCAACTTTACCTTGGAATCGTTGGGTACATTGTTTGGCAAAATGCCCTTCCTGATGACACACAAAACATACCCTTGGGGATCTGGCAGGCGACCCATTTTTCACAAACGGTGGCCTCTTGCTTCCTTGATATACATTCTTCCGAAGATTCTGAGAGGGCTTCTTACGGTTACTGAAATTCTCCATATGGGAAAAACAACGCTGGACTCCCCTATCAATTTGGGAATCCCTTGGCGGAATAGTCCCGTTAGAACCCTTCTTTACCAGCTCCGGCTCCACTTGTATGCTGAACAAGGTCTTTCTAGCCACCCTATCCCGACTTTCCTCTTTCGCTGCCAAATCTACAGCGTTTTCTAGATCCTGAGGATCCTTCCACCTGAGGAATTTTTGGAGCTCTGTTGATCGCAACCCATTGACATACTGCGTTAGTCCCAACGCTTTCAGCAATTCACTTTTTCCTCCAACATCCTGTATTCTACTGACAACCTCCTTTACTCGCGTTCCAAAGGTTCTTGCTGTTTCGTCGGGATATTGACGGAGCTCTGAAAGCCTATACGTAAGACTCGGGAGAGTCTGAGGTTTTTCGAATTGTACTTTCAGTCCCTTGCATATTTCCGCGAAATCTTTGGTTTCGCGCAATTTTTCATCTCCCCGAATAAAATCAGCAGCCATGCCTTCCAGCTTGAACTTAACAATGTGGATTGCTTGTTCATCTTTCCACTCCGCAAGATTCTTGGCCATACTGACCTTATCTAAAAAGTCCTGAATTCGAATACTCCCCTTTTCACCAGTGAATTTAGGAATGGAGGTTACCAGATCCTGAAAAGCTGACACTGCCGGTTCTTTTGCCATTCTTGCACGTCCGGTACTATCAACCTATGAGAAGATTAGTTCGCTTGAAACAATAACCAGAATTTTGACAGATTCTTTTGAAGCCTTTTTCCCTTCTGGGTAACACCGAAACGGAGTTCACCACTCTCTTGCACACTTTCACACGCCTGGCCACACCGTATGGTATGGGAACCAGAACTCAACACGGTCTCGGTCTCGAACACCATCTCTCCATCAATAGGAGCTGGAAAAGAAACTAAAAGATACCGGGTCGGCCTCAGGTCACGACTCGGTCGAATCGTGTTCTCAAATTTCTTTACCTCTTCGTCCTGTCTGGGTAGAGAGGTAAAGTACACGATACGAAATGATAAAATGAATCATTCAATATTGGTGGAATATCGGTCCAGTTCAGGACCAGTGACGCCTATGCTTTTCCGTAATGCCAATATAGGCCCTGAGAAGGTGTCCGTGAAGTAACTTTTTAATCAACGTTTCTGCAACGTATATGCAATGAATAAGGACCCAGCAAACAAGGCTACGTTGGACCGACGTTGTTTCAATGTTCCGAACGTTTATTCAATGTTGACTCAACGTTGACCTAACGTTATGCGTTCGAAATTGTTTGCTGGGGAACGATTTGCTACGTAATTGCAACGTTCCTTCGCAACATTCGAGCGACGTTGACGTTCTGGACGTTTACACATAGATGCAACATTTTTCATCGACATTTCCTAAACGTTGCTGGAATATCTTGTGTCACCTGGGTACAGACGGACGCCATCTTTGATATAAAATGCGAACTTACCAACTTTTGAATAACACTCTACATTATCTGTGTGAAAAACTTAATAGATCCTTATGCACTGCGGCCACTTGCGGGACGGAGAATCCGAGTTTCCCTTCGATCGTCCACGATTACGGGTCTTCCCTGTTCTATCTGAATCCCTGCCCCCAAATCTTGCGACGAGGGCTGCGCTTCGGTTACTGAAACGGAAAGGAGTGATTCGCACGACGAAGACGAGGGTGAAAAGTCGCGATCGCTCCTCTCTCGGTTAGAACTTCTCTCGATCCGATCGAAAAGAAGGGAGTCCGCGACCCGTGGATCGAGGCGGATGCGAAGCAAAAAACGCGAGTCCCCAGAGTCGACGAATGCCCTGGGGAATCCGGAGGATCGGAAGGCGACCCGTGAATCGCTGCATTCGTCCGTCTCTTCCGATAATATCTGATTGGAAAGAAAGTTCTCGGAATTTCATGAACAATTATTTAGTTTATATAGTGTTCCTTCCCATTAGTCCATGTCACGGCATGTCGAACGATGAGTATCTGGATGACTGGACGAATGCTACCACATCAATAATCATCCTTTAATGAAGTGGTTCTCCGGACGAACGTCAATTCCTTTTGACACATCTCTTGGAACGCCATAGATCTAAAGGTATCATTCCTTTTCTCACACCACCATCCTTCTCGTCTATCCGGTACACTAACGCCACTGAATGACGAATGGACGATAGAAGAATTAAAATTGTTTTTCCATTATTCCTGGGAACTCATTAGGGATCCAAGAATGGAAGATGATTAGTCACTCGGGTGCTACAGAATGATTCGAGGACATTCTGTGAACATTCCATGAAAAATATTAGTCCCATGTATGCTTTTGAGGCTGATGGCAAAATCATACATAATATTCCCGAATAAGCAAATATTCCTAAATTAACTAAGGAAATAAGAAACAAGAGTCAATGAATCTATGGGGGAACGATGCAAAGAATGCCTGCCCGGGTGCATGAGAGCGTAAACAAATGAGTGAATGAAAGGAGTAAGTCTAAATCGCAAAAATTGCCCAACTGTGTCTGACCTTGGTTCCCGACAAAGATTAAGTGCTAGGCACAGCTCAGGTCAGTTGATAACCTAGACCAGGTAAAATATGCAGATCAAGGCCGACGACATTCGATGCAGCGAGGACCTAGGCTATTTAGGGGAGATAGGCACAGGGAAAACAACACCGATCATGATGACCTAAATACTAAACACCAATGCATGATGCAATCAAGGTGCAAACTAGTACGTCAGATACATATCTATACCTATCTAGAGTCTATCATATTCCAGACAGATAACATATCAATTATGACGGGTAAAGGTCGCGAACACGCACAGACATGACGCACGGTACGGTTGCCAGTTGTGCTGAAATCATCTCATAATACAAGATAATTATAGGACTCATTCTAACCAGCGACGATCAATCGCTACAGCGCGTGTGTCTAAAGTACGACTAGCGGCCGGATCCGTTACATGACATGTTTCTCCATCACGTAAATAAAACGCACGAAGGATAATACCCATGGTGCACTTTTTATTGCATTTCTCATTTACGGAAAATTAATCGATTAATCGAATTTTGATCGAGCTTCTCCTCTCTTCGTTGAATGTGGCGAATGGTAATGATATGCCAAATGAAGGTGGGATCCTGCCTCATTCGTGTATAATCATCGAAGCGAAACGCTTCGATCCCCGTCGTTCCTATACCTAAATTGGACTTCTCTGTTTTCAATGGGATCCCACCGAAGCGGACCGGATGAGAGCGAGCTGGTGGATTGGTTTTTTTCCACTTAAGGATGTCAATGCTGCAGTCTATCAAAGGACGGATCAGAATGACATGGGATGAGGAGATGATCCGCCGTTTCTCAAAGCAGGGGCGACCACAAGGAGGGGGGGAAGAGGGGATGGAGGGCGAGAAGAGAAGGCCATGGCCACCGCCATGGAGGGACGGACATGTTAGAAAAATACAACAGGCAAGGCGATGCCCTATTCCGTCTAGCGAGTCTAATTGAAGGAATCAATTGCTTGCTGACTCCCTTCCTGGTGGGTGCTAGCCCTACCCATCTCAGGGGGGTACCTCTTCACAAGCCCCATTGACTCAATATTTTATTTAAATGTAGACTGAAATTGAGAAAATAGGAGAGGCTCAAATAAACTCTGGTCAACAGCAGTGCACGACAAGATTTACACTAGGGCGTGGAATTTAAAAGCACAATAGGGCGTTCTATTTTAAAAATCCCAGTGTAGTATGGATCTCAGTTTGTGTCAACGTTTCATCTGTAATATCAAAGTATATTTTTATTAGGTCTGATTGATCTCCATCGAGCAATTGATAAGTATGCACGTCATCATCTCTGTTCCTAAGGAAAACCACGCACATGAGTAACATGAAGGATACGGAAATGACCCCCTGACGTAGCCAGGGGACCCTTCCCAGTTGATCCAACCTGGGGTAAGTGCCCCAGAAACTCGCGTGGTCCCCTTCTACAAACACTGCTGGCGCCCTTGTTTAAGTGTGCGTCCTCCCGAGCATCCTCATNCTGGCGCCCTTGTTTAAGTGTGCGTCCTCCCGAGCATCCTCATGGGCCACCAGAATATTGGGACACAGTCTTAAGGCGATTGATCTGATTGAAGTAATCTAAAATGTACTTGGAAGCTTCTCGAGCCCAGCTTTAACGGACGAGACAGAGCGAGGCAGCAAAGGAGAAAAAATAAGGAGAAAAACTCGGATTCGAACTTCGAACTCGAACTCGAACAATTCCAATTCTGCAGGGAAAAACACATCCCCGATGGAACTGTCTGGATGCCAAAGAAACCAAAGCTCAGAGAGGACTAATGACTACGGTTGAAAAACCACCTTTCCCTATTTTTTTGCCCTCACGCCTTTTCTGTCATCTCTACACCAAAAGCAAAAATGTTTAGAAAAGGAGATAGGTTCTATCCGAGCAGTGAGCCTTAGGGCAAAAAAATAGGGAAAGGTGGTTTTTCAACCGTAGTCATTAGTCCTCTCTGAGCTTTGAGGGAACATTACATACAATCAGGATAAGACGTAAACACCCTGACATCCTCTCCCCGCTCGTTAAGCTCCTGCTCATTAACAATCCCCCTCCCTCCCCTTGACCCATTGCCCAGCAACCCCCTCCCCCCCTCGGTCCTTCGCCCAACACCCGAACATGGTCGGGACTGCATCGCATCGCTACTCGTATTCCCCGCCTGAATTTTCTGTTAGCTATCTGTTAAAAACCTCTCCCACATACAGCACAAGTGCACAACCTCCCACAGAACAAAACCCAGACCCCCCTCTCCTCCTCCCTTCTGGAATAATCTCCCCGGCCGAGAACACTCAGAAAATTGGAAGCGGATGAGAACGGAAGCTTGCTTTTCAAACACTAATTTTATCTTTTCAACAAGACCCATTACCTGCCCATCTTAAGCAAGTACGAAGAATGTGAAGAAAATTCTTCCTTCTTTTCCTCTCTGACACGAACCAGACCCAGACTCTGTAAGCACCAAATTAATCTCTTGTGGCCTCTGTCCCACGAGCTCAAATTGCTATGCTGCATGATAAACTGGAAGCTCATTCTCAACACCATGTGTGCTCAACACCATCGACTATTCTTCTCCGTCCGAAGATTTATCAATTACTTTTGTCTCAAAGGTTTTGTGAATTTTTAATTATATTCAATTATCGAAATGTACTAAGGAGCTATTACATAAACTATTATAAATATAAATATAATATTTATTCATTAACCAATTAAGGGATCCATTCTCTTAGTCCGACACAAATGGACTCGGCGGCGAGCCAACTTCCACGTGGCAGACATCGGGATCGCCGGTGTGAGCCGGCTGTTCAACAGTGGGATCCACCGGGGCCGCCGCCTCATCTGGGCCGTCGTGCTCCTCGCTTCCCTCGCCCTCACCATCGCCCAGATCTCGGACCGACTGAGGTGAGGTGGTTTTTTTTTTCCCCCTTGTAGGTAATACAGGGGGAATCGAAACGGATGGACAGACTGGACGGGACACCCTCCTTCATTCATTATTTTTTATTTATTTATTTATGTTTTGTATTATACTTGTGTTTTCTGCTTCCATCAACGCCGAAGTGTGGCAGCCACCAAACCAAACGGACACCATCAACGTGTATTGCGAAAAGTTCTTTAACTCCCGGGCCGAGTGCTTGGGGATGCCCAGCGATATCCGGTGACTCGCCGAAGAAGAAAATGGGGAAATGAGACGGAATTTCCAGAGGCAATAAAGCAAAATGCAATATCACCCTTGTACAGATATGCCTTTTCACGGGCCACTACATCGCTGGGGTTATCTCCCTTTCGTCACGTCATAGCCTTCGAAGTCTCATGAAAATAAAAAATTATAGTCCTAATCGTCTCATAAACTCGAGAAAGCCTTCGATAATTCACGCATCCTCATCGTTTGAAGATGGGGGGAGAATAATACGCATAGAATACCAAATGTGTCGATTCACGCATTCGGTCAGCAACGCTGTCTACGGCTACCGCCAGCATCCGCTCAATCCCATCGTCAATTAAGGATCTGTCAGCTGCGGGTGTTGGAAGGGAACTAACGGCTTTAGACAGTGACTGACAACCCGACCCGCGATGAGGGCTGACGCATACGAATCGAGCTGATGACAACAATGCTCCTGTTGCCATGGCAACTGCAGATGAACGGAACAAAAAGGAAGAAGGAAGAAATAAAAAATATATAAAAAGTGGAAACGGACCGCAATATCTGTCATTTCCCCACAGGCCACTTTGATGGAAGATGAAAGATAACGAAAAGAAACTGACACGAGAATGCAGGACGATTCCCTGCTGGACGCCGCACTGATGGGCTGGCTGGGCGGTGCAGCAGCGACCGCTCAGAGCGGATTCTCTTTTATTCGACACATTCAGGGAGAAAATTATGGGCTCGGTTAGTACTCGAACGATCGACCGATTAATCGATAAGATTTTGAAATCGATCGACGGTCTTAATTCAAATGCAAATAATGTAAGTGCATTCCTTTAAAAAATAAGACGATATCGCAGCCCTCTTCGGACAACTAGCTTTCAAATTGGCGATTCTGCTTTCCGAAGCGACGCGGTTCCCCCTTCGAGCGACCTGTCCCCTTCGAGCGACCTGCCCCCTTCGAGCGACCTGCCCTCTCCCGACGATGTTCCCCCTTAATTACAGTCTACTCCGCTTATTGGAAAACTCTCCGAGACTAGCTATCTTTATTCCATTACCAGAAATTATCGTCCAGTTCTTCTTCCGGCATTTTCGCAGGAAAAGGAATGTAGCAAGGTTGTTTTTAAAACTATTTAAAGTCATTTAAAAATTACAATTCAGTTTTGAAAAGAGTTATTTCTCTAAGCTTGTTATTTCAAAAAACCTCAATACATTCATGCGATATTTTTCATAATCCATCTTATGGTTAATAAATCGGGACCATGCAATGGTTTTCCATTAGGCCAAGTATTCCATTAAGTGGAGTCGACTGTATTTGCATATAATTTATTCAAAATTCAATGAGCTCGCATAGTGAATACTCGCATTTAAATTATTGACCCACTCATGAAGTAAATGTAAGCGCTCCTCTCAAATCGTTTTGGGCTTCATCTGTTGATGCAGGCCGAGCGATCGTCCGCGCATTTGGATTACCTCGAGAATTTTCGTCGAGCGAGCGTGGACCGCAGCGACGGAAATCGACATCGAAACGCGTCGTCACGGTAGGCTCACGTAACGAGCGGCACTGACGTGCGATCAGATAAGGAGACCTAATTCTGGGTTGGGCAAATATCGGAGAGGAATCCCTATGGAAGGGGCCGCAATCAGGGTCCGGGGATCTAATATGCCTAATGAGGGCATGGGAGTTCTACGGACAGCAACGAGGGCACGGCCTTGTCCGAGGGTGACAGGGAGCGTGGCCCTCGTTGTCCGCGCTTGCAGTGAGTCGCGGTGCTGAGCAATGCGGTTGGCCCTGACCAAGGGCGTTGAATGAGTCGTGCGAGGGCGATCCTCTGATCCTCTGAACACGCAGTTGCAGATGTCTCGTTTTCGTTCCGCACGAAGAAGGAAAACGGGAGTCCCTCCAACGAATCTGAGGTCATCTCTTCTAGTTTTTACGTACTCTGTAGAGACTACGTTCCCCTTGCGCATGAGTTAATTTTTTTTTTCCCGAAACCATCTTCTCTTTCTTTTTACTTGCTCCTTCATTGCTCCTTTTTCTCAAAAAATAAAAAAAATATTCTCCACGAAATCTCCTGGATGCCTGCAACCACTCTGTTATCCTCAACGTTTGCAAGATCGCTACCGCTTCAACGGTCACCAAATTCTCCCAACGACTCGCATGCTTTCTAAACGTAACTCCAATTCAGTACTCGAATCGGTCCAACAACAGAAAATTTTCAAAAGGAGGTAATAATTTACAGTAAATGGAAGGCAGAGCGGTATTCCAGTTTCAGCTGACTTTTGCAGACGCACGATCGGACAAACTTTAAAGTCGCTGGTTGATGAGGATAATTTAAATCCCTGTTTCTGGGAACTCCCTGAGGTCATCACCTGACGTGGATAGCCTCCCTAAAGGAGCAGAGATTCAAATTTGGTTAATTGTTGAGCTTGGAGAGGGGTTTAAATGCAAGCCCCCCCCCCCCCCCCCCCAAACACACACGCGTGCGCGCACACACACCGACGAGCAGAGACATCTATCGACCATCTAAAGTTTCAACCATTATTAATGCTTTGCCTCTTGCAATGTCTCCCGATTGCTCATTGCGGTGCCCGACTACTAAACTAGAGAGTACCAGTCCAGGTACAGATCTGGCATTCCACTGGCCCCTGTACTACTGGATTTATTATATATATTCACTGCATCCTAACCATCCAACCTTGAAACAAATAATATTTGGTTTGGCGTAGTCCTATATGAAAAGATCCGGACAAATAGACATGTTCTCGATGGTCCGCGTGTCCGCGTCGCGTGGAGATGGGAGGACAGTATGAGGTGTAGGATGCTAGATACGTCATTTCACGCGTACGCCTAGCAACCCTATCTACGCGGCCGGAAGCAGTCGCTCTCCTCCATTATCCACTATGGATCCGTCAGCTACCAGGGCTGGAGGGGAAGTGGATGTTTTCGTGGAAGACGGGCACCCCGACCCAGGTGGAAAACTGCGCGTGCGCGTTGGGTCGTGCTGTCCGGTCGCTATGGTTGCTGCGGACAGACGGAATGAAAAAAAAATGAAAAAAAGCAACAAACCTACCGTAATATCTGGCATTTCCCCATAGTACCTAAGGGAATGCCAGATAATAATAATGTGCTGGGCAAACATGATTGGGTTGATTGAAAGACGTGGAAGGAGGCGTTTTTATCGTAGTACCCTAGGGGCACTCGCCCCCCCCCTTCCCCTCGAGACCCATTCAGTTCCCTCAAGAGTATCAATGAGTGAGGTCTCATTAGCTGATAAATCATTCATGGCGGAATGGAGGGAGGACAATATGATGCGGAATGCAAGAAAATTGATTCCTTTTCGTTCGCTCTCCATGGGATCTCCTCTGATGCCTGTCTCCTTCATAGCTTATCGCGCAACCCTTATGAGCAACGTGACGCGTTGCTGATACAATATCCCGAATGCATCATTGCGATCGAGTTTATGTTGAGGGCGGGGTAGAAGAGGTTTTGACTAGTTTTGAGGGAGAACATTCATCATTGCACGAAGTCATTCATCGCGTGATGACATTCATCATTTCAGGTTTTATATTTCGACTCCGGTCGGCGTGAACGTTCTCATCCAGAGGAACATCTCGCTCAAGTTCCCCGTCGTCTCCCTGTGCAACAAGAACGTCGTGAGTTTCCTATCGAATCCTCATTATTTAGTTTTTTTTCCCCCGATTTCACTTTCCAGCCGCTCTTCCAGGTGAACACGACGCGGCTGAAACTCCTGCTAACGACGCCGGACCATCACGGCGTGACGTGGGAGAAGCTGACGAACAAGCCCTGGTACGAGGCGAAGCTGGAGGAGATAGTTGGCTTCAGGAACCTCACGGGCCAAGCCTTGTGGGATCTCACGGCTCACAACATGACACAGATGACCGTCGACGTAAGCGTCTGGCTTTAGTGTGTGTGTGTGGGGAGGGGGGGAGGAGCTTTCCAGGCCTCATTCAGGACAAAATTCAACATCATAAATCAAATCCGATATCCGCGCTTGGAGCCATCATATCTTACCTCCTTCCAATTTTTACTCCACCTGCGGGGGCATTCGGGGCCATCCATCCTGGGTCAACAGGGACCACCCATCAGGTGGGATCCGCCCCGTGCGGTCGGTCATTTACCGGCAGTCGGTCAACAGGCAGGCAATTAAAAGAGGAACTGACCATCGAGTGCATCTATGCCCCAAACGATAGTAATTATTTAATTGCTCTCCACGGAGTATCAATGATTCCCATGTGGGGCATTTAACATCGTAATGTCTCGGGAACTTTTATTCTGTCTCGATCTTTTGTGAAGCGGAGTCGCTGATGACTCGTAATTAGAGGTTGGGCGTGCTTACGAGATTATTCATGATCTGTCAGCAATGGTAATTTTCGTTCATATAAGCGCCTGCGGTGTTTCCTCCTGACTTCGTTGGGTTAAAAATATATATAGCAAACAATAGATAAATAAAAAAATTAATTAAAAATGAGATTCGAATGGGCAAGTATGGAGTTTTAGTCCCCAGAGAAGCCATCCATCCCCTGGGAGAGCCAAGGGTGGAATAAACAGGATGAATGAAATGTCAAACATTTCATCCAAATGAAAAAAGGGGATCCTCCCAAGCCTGTTTCATTTTTTCCCCATGCAGTTATTACACGGACAGGGGAAATGCCCTTTTGTGTCACGGAATTCCCACAATTCCCCGACCCTGTCCCCCCGAGACCCCCCATCAGCTCCCCATCCGCTCCCCACCCGCTCCCCATCCGCTCCCTATACTTTCCCCGTTACTCCCCAGAGCCCCATCTTTTCATTTCCTGATGACTAAATAGCCATTAGCTGATAAGGTCGTCCTGCTAATGTTTGCACCCCTGATTAAGAGAATGTCTCCCTGGCGGAAAAGGACATCAAAAAGGACGACCCTGAAAAAAAAAATTCCGGGAGGAAAAAAGGACCTCACGCGATCCCATCCCGAGCTAATGAGGGGGCTCCTCTCGTGCCCTCACCTATCCTGTCCTCGCCTCTCGTGCCCTCTCCTCCCATGCTGACCCGGCAAGGACAGGATTATATTTGCGGAACATAATCACCATTCGCATCAGGTGAATGATGACCTTGCCGTCGCTTTGAAGTCATCTGAGGTCATTTCTCTCTGCCTTGTCCACATGAAAAGCATGAAAAATGCACCACCTCGGGATAAGTACAGTGTTTTTCCCCCTCCAGATTGCATTTGTGCGCGTAATGGAAGAAACGTGAGCTTTTCGTGACAATTCTTCACTCGGCGCCGGAGAGTCAATTTTCTTTTCATGCAATGTTTGCAATTTGAACAAATGACCTCGGTTTTATCTCATTGCGACTGAAATTTTTCCGAAAATGCGGGGAAAAGCGACATGTTTGCCGTAAAAATATCGATGGACAAGAACTGAGTTCATACGAGTCTCCGAAATGAGAAACAGCGTATTCTCCCTATCTCCTAATGTTTCAAGTCTCAAGCAGGACTCTGATTTGGTCCTATTTCGTGGGGCGAGAGCTGGAGTCTTACCCGTTTCGAATCGCCAGTCTGGTTCGGCGGCATATTGCGAATTCCCATCGAAAAATACCAACATTGCTGATGGACATAGGAGGCATACCCGCACAATAAGCACGCCGGGTCGACTCAAAATGCTGCCGCACGATGTCAAAGCTTGTACACTGGAGTAGGCTAGCCAAGGCACACGGGTGGGTGATTTGAGGAAGGCAGTTGCGGTGTTGCTGGCATCTTCGTTGCGAGACGACTCTGATGCTCCATCTTCATTGAAGACACCGTAGTCATCGATAATGAGGCTAATTTTAGCTTTCCTTTGCAAACTTGAGGGTCTCGGGTTTCCTTTACTAAACGGGGGGAGATGCATGGAAATTCCAACAATGTCTGCTGGCTCCCAACATTTAGGCCAATACTGTAATTGCTGTCCGAGTGGAGTCGAATATGCTCGAAATTCTTTCTCGTCAGGGATGATGTTGTCTTCCGCTTCTACAGTGCTGGTTCGGACGGGGAGTGAGGTGCAGCCAGATTGGGCACTGGCAGAAGATCGACACCTTCATAGGAGTCTGCTTCACCTTCAAGAGAAGTGAGTCCTTTGAGATCCATGCCGTTTCTGAGGTTCGGGATGAGGAGACTGGAGTCTGGCTAGTCGGGGCCCTGTGGCCTGGGACAGGGGGTGGAGAGGGGAGGATTTGAACAAATCATAAAGAAGTGCTTGAAGACAGCTGAGAGGTCTGACTGGGTCACTGAAAATATTTTCGTCATATTATACTGCATCATATTATACTGCGTCATATTATACTCTTTTTTATTGTATTATTCAAAGGTTCTTCGAATTTAAACATAAAGATTATTCAGTCTCCTGCATGTGGAGCTCCTCGAGAGCCAAAAGGATACCCGAGTTGCATAGGCATAAGGCTTCGCATAATCACACCAAAGCGGGAAACGAATGGGCTCGTTAGAGCGCTTGAATTACAAAGTTTAAAGGACAGATGCGCGCAAGTTCCACTTAGCTTGCAGTACTGCAATGAACCGGAGATATTTCAAGCAGCCACTGCAGTGTATCATTCCACTTTCTACTGCAACTATTCGCCCATCATAATTAACATGACACGTCCAAGCAAGTATCAAGAACATAAGCTCTCAGTAAGAGGTTATTTTATTTATGTTTTCCCGTTAGACGTCAATCCTTTCAACTTTGTAACTCGAGGCACACTAATTAGCTTCTTGGCTTTATGATTTCATGCTTCGGTGCGATTATTTCCTGTCCTTTGAACAATGCAACCAGGAGGGTCTTGTGGCATTCACCCAGACCCGCAAATAGGAGGTGAAATATTCCCTGGGTTGCTTTGTTGAATAATTGTTATTGATCATCGCGTAAGCGGTCGTCAACGGACTTTTTACTCTTTTGAGAGCAGCTTGGGGTACGAAGGCCCCCTGAAAGATCACCTATTGTGTGCTGAGCCTCTCACGGGCACACAATGTGACTCTAAAAAACAGGGTTCGCTCTGGCTGAGAATGAGCGACGCATACGATGCGGACGAGACGGTTCTCCTACTCGATAACAGACTTTTCTCTCTAAGAGAGTAGGATCGAGTAGGGTCAGATTCACTCGATAATGTGCCTATGATCGGAACCAGCAATCGAGAAATGTGAAGTAACATCATGAACTCCTCTCAGAGCTGAGTATTGGCGAGATTGTTATCAGGTTGTCCTAGCGCAATTTGAATTGCTCTGAACGTTTTCCTAACTCAACTCAAGTTTAATGAACAACTCAACCTGACCTGGAAACAAATGCTTTTGAATCCAACCGAAAGGAACCACCACCTGTTGAACATAACCTTACTCCTTTTAGAGTCATAATTTTTGCATGTCACGCACAAAAGAATAAACCTGCGTTTAATCAGCTCCTTCATGCTATTAAGACGTCTTTCTCAGTGAAAAGATCTACTGCATTTTGAGCTGGTAAGGAATCGAATTTTCATAAGGCGTGGGCGCCATAAAAAAATTACCTGGTGGCTGCGATATACTGTATATTGAAAGGAATATTGCCTTCCCCTTTGACCTTCCCAACTAGCCCCCACCCCTACTCTTGTGCCGGATACAGGCTCACCGTCGCTCTGTTCTCTTCCATTCCTGCTCATCACTAATCTGGTGGTCATATTTTTGAACAGACCATTGTTGTATAATTTCACTTAGATGTCATCATTTTAAAAAAATCTTCCCCTTTTTTTCTCTCCTTTTGTTTTCTTTTCTTGCCGTTTCCTTAGCTAGCTTTCTAGGAACGATTTGAGAGACATTCTAATAATAAAAAAGTTATTGCAGCCTGTGTTTGCTCACGGCTTACACTGACGTCTGAAAGGGGGTGGATCGATGTCTGTATTGGGATACGTGTCTGCTGACGCTGCACTTTTTACCTAGCTGAGGTGAAGGTTAGGGCACAATTCATTTTTATCGATGATGCTGAAAACGGCATCCTTTAAGTTGGCGCGTAAAAAAAAATATAATGTGTCTAGTTTGAGTATAATGTTGACTTACAATGCAGTTGTCAGTCAATGTGGCAAGGTAGCAACGATGGGGTATGCCGCATCCACTTCCTTGCTGTAAGAGCTTGCTCATTGTCCACTTAGGCCGATTTCCACAGCAGATCATTTCTGTGAATGCGCATCTGGACGATGCCCGCGTTGCACGTAGGAGGAGGAAACCTCGTGTCACGTGTTATTCCTGCGTCAGGGTTAGTTTATTAGGTATATTCGAGGAGAAAATAAATTTGATAAGTGAAATTCTTTAGCAAATTCCCAGTGGTCACACAATTAGGATCATTGACTGCCAGGAACGCTTGACGTTCTCTCATCCTATGTATTTTGACTTGCAAGGTCTTTACGACAAGTCAGATCAGCAAGACGTCCTCCAGAGAGGCGATGAAGTCATTCTGGGTAATTTTTTTCATGCAGATTCCCAGGTAGCGACGAGTGGGATGTTCAATAACCTCTACCTGAGGATGGTGGACACTGACGAGATCCACATCGACCCGGATGAAACCGGCTGGAAGGTCAGCATCGGTATTGCAATGTCTTGAGCGCCAAAAAATATTGGGATTCGAGGACAACTTTACAACAACAATCGATGGGGAATGCACATTCATATTTCATTTTTGAATAAGTCATAATGTAGATTGATGTACATTAAAAAATAAAAAATAAATTAGGGGAGGTATGAATCGAGAATTTATTACCTTTTCGTTGCTGATAATTTTTTTCTTGATCGGTTTTTGCAGCTAAAAATGAAACATTCCCCTGAACATACCCTCCTGTTATTTCATCACCCCCTGACAGGTTGACAGTCTGCCTGGTAAGAAGGCGCCTGCTGAGCCGATTTCAGCTTTAGTGAGAACATGTACAGACTCTCATTATAAAAAAATTTCTGGAAATCTGTGGCTGCAACGCATGTCCGATGCATGGTGAAATCGTTTCTGCGCCCTCCTGCGATCGTCAACATGCCTTAGTGATTGAAGAATCTCCTTGTCTCTTCCTTGTCGTTTCGTTTTGGGAGCTCAAATGACGGGAAATCGGCTAATTTGTCTTTCGTGTAACATCTATTACAGGATTTAATAGTTACTACTTTTTGGCATTCGGTATATATGTACATTGTTGCTGCAGGCGACTTCAAAAATGGCGTTTTAGTCTTCAACTTTGGTCCAAGATCGAGAAGTCTCATCTGAAGGATACGCAACGTAATGATGACGATTGTCTTGTTTTCAGATCCACCTGCACGACTCCACAGACTCGCCAGTGGTGGACATCCGCACTTATGGCTTCACCCTCTTCCCAGGCTGGAGCAAAGACGTCCGCATTGACCTGCGCGATGTCAGTTTCACCCTTACCCTCAGTCATACGTTGTCCTTTGTCAGGCTAAAGAACCTTCTTTAAATAAAAAAAAACAGTTCAAAACGCTGGACACGAAGCGGCGGCCTTGCAACGGAAGTCACGAGTACAGCGAGTCCAAGTGCAAAGCTGCATGCTTCGTGAGGAAGGTGTTCGAGAGGGCCAATTGCAGCCTCCCCTACATGTCTGGTGAGTCATCGACTTTACCTTCGGGATGGAATTTGGATTTCGTGCGCGTGGTCCTGTCAGCCCGGTCATGAACTGCTCTGTCACGTGCATCTAGTACGTCGCGTCATGGCTCGAGTCATGGCTCAACTGAGCGCGCCGAGTGTTGCGACCACGAGAGGGGACTGATCTGGCAGGACCGACTCGAGGGTGAATCACGGTGCTTTCATCATGCAATATCTGAAAATGGACCCGGGTCCCTTTTCAGACGCAGCAAAAACTGTCACTTTCTTTCATATTTTCATGTTTTATGATTTTATATCAAAACTGAAACTCACGTTGAGAAAAATGTTAATAGTAAGCGAAACATGAGATGGCAAACATTCCTTCATTTCTACAGCCAATAGATGATTATTTCTCTTCAAACGCATGGTAGGAAATTCCCTTGGCATACTCTCATAGAGGAAAAGTTCCGTTTATGACCCTACTTCATGCACATCCGATAACCTTGAACTGGATGCAGAATATGACATCGATGATGGTTAATCCTACAGAAGTGATACCAACGCCGACCTGCGATACCAAAGAGAGCTACGCAGCCGCGACGAAGGCGGCGAAGAGGCTCCTCTTCTGGGGTGAATGGAATCCTCAGGATTGCGACTGCCCCAGACAATGTTACAACAGCTACTACGTCCCCTTCGGAGAGTCCGTGCACACCGGAGGGAACCAGTCCCGACTAAGGGTCTATTATCAGGTCAGTCCAGCCCCGGAGGCGTTGACAGGCATGTTCATGTTGGACTCGCCATTGATCGGTCTTGTCGAGCCCTTTGTTTCTGGAATCCTTTATAATAGGGAATATTTGTGCTCTGAGAAAAGTGGCTGCTTTTTCCTTCTCAATTACATGCAAATTATTGCATGTGCAGATGAATATGGTTTCTCTCCATATTTCTCATCATGTTCACTACTGAATCTAGCCTCTCATATGTTAACTGTTCGAGGAACCAGTGGGCGGAAGGTCTTCCTCAATTTTCCGGATGGATCCAGATCGTTTGGATTTCGATAAAAGGGTGGAAATTCAATAAACGGGAGGGAGAAAATTTCAGATTGAGGAAGTCAACCAGCCCAACAATACAATCGGATGATTTTTTTTTAAATGTTCCTGCAGTAAATCAATAACGCCACTGGATTTCGAGGCCTAAAGAAAGGTGGTAATGAAAGTGTTGTAACTATTGGAGTTGGGCAGTGTTTAAAATAATTGTATTTAAAATACGTATTTAAATACATATCACAATATGCATTTTTATTTTATATTCGTAATACAGTTCTCTGCAAAAATTTTCTATTAAAATATACCCACTCAAAAAATAAACGCAGAGCTGAAATATTACAGTGAAATACTTTACCATTCAATGACATTACGACATGTAGCTATTTATTCAAGTATGGCGGAGCGAACTTAGGTGCTCGACACCATTTTAGTCTTGAATCATTTTACTCTTGAATATGCACGATCTGTAACCGCTTGTTCATGAATTCAAGTTTTAGGTAACAACCGAGTACAATGCTTGTGGATATCATTCTTTCAACCCGGTGCAATGTCGCGTTATGCTGTTTCCAATAAAAGTGCCAGGTTCTCGTCGATGGTAGGCTGTCATTGTGCAGCAAAGCCGTCAAGGATGCCAAGACTCCCAAAGGGGGATCGCAATAATGCTATTGGGAGATTGAAATCTGGTGAATCCCAGTCATCAGTTGCAAGACATTTTAACTTGCACCAGAGCACCGTCTCACGATTATGGGATCAATCCCAGCAACAAAGTTCAACGCGTAACCGTCCGCGCTCTGACAGATCCCGCATCACCAGTCCTGCACACGATCGGTACATTCGACTCAGACATCTGCGGGTACAGTTTGCTACAGCAACCTCTACAGCATCAGCAGTGTCTGGAGTGCGGAAAACGTCGGCTCGAACCATCTGTAAAGCGCTTACGAGCAGTAGGTTTGAGATCATGACAACCACTTCGTGGGTTTGTACTGCAAGACCAGAACAAGCGACTTTGTTTGCAGCGGTGTGACTGACACCGCTGCTCTGTATGCTCTGAAATGTGTTGGAAAACAGTCATATTCAATGATAAGTCCCGGTTGTTTCAGAGAGGTACTGATGGTCGCACTAGGAATACGTGTTGTCGCAATGCGTTTCTTTTTTGAGTGAGTATACAGTTGACAAAACATAAAATACTTTTTAATTGGTTTAGTGGAAATTCAAACATGGCTAGCTCAGAAGGCTTGCCTTCTATATTGGATGGGAAGTTCTTCAGTATTGTTGAACGAGAAGGGGGGGGGGCAGGAGAGGGTCAAGGTCAAATGATGTACAGAAAAAGTGATTGGTGAAACTCTAGCTGCAACATCCAACTTCTTCATACATTTGAAGGTTGAGTGCGTTGCAATATCTTGGTGCGAATATGCTAACCTTGTCCTTGGCCCAAGCAAGGTTTTTAATTTATTATGTATTAGGCCATCCTTAGGCCTAATGCAATGTGCAAGCCCGAATCTCGCCAATGAAGGTTAATATCTCTGTTCTTTGCCTTCAGAGACTACATTCAGATCTCGTTGAGAATTATGAATGGTATAAGGTGGAGCAGTCTGGCCATTCAGAAAGGAAAACAGAGAGAATGCCATCATCGGGCATGTGCCAATGGTCAGAATTTCTGAAGGTTTTCTAATTTTGTGATTTTGTACAAAATCCGAAAGCACAAAGTAAACTTTAAGATTTTTATATTTTGTAATTGAAATAATATTATTGGGCTGTATTTATGTTTTGTATTTGCAATACATTTTTTTTTCATAGGCATTTGTACTCAATCACTTGTATTTTGCCCAGCTCTGGTCACCATGACTATATCCCGCAAGGTTAGCACTTCCATGTTTCATTTTGTTTTAACATTGAAATTTTTGCTTGAGATTAACTTAAAGAGCGAGTTAGCTTGTATCTGCAGTTGGATGCTGATGGTTCTTCTCCAATCCGTCAGAGGGAGAGAAGGAATTCGACTGATCACGATGTGATCGAGCGGCCGGCTAGCAGGCATTTAAGCCATCAGCGTTGAGACAGTGAATGTGAGGGGATATATCCAGTTTTGTTCTCTTGGACCTCATACTATCTCGTCTTTTTTTTAGGAGGGAGAGCGACATCTGCATTCAATATTTACAAAGTGCACTTCCTTGTTACACCATTAGATGGCGACGAGACCCACCCAGTTGAGGTTTTCACAAGATTGGGTTGGGAATAAAGGAGACAGGGCCCTAATTTCAAGGCTACTCAATTCAAACTAAAATTATGGTGCGATGTCCCCCCAAAAGTTTTTATTTATATTTTTGCTTTATTTATTTATTAACTTTATTTATTAAAATTTTTAAAACTTACACATGATTCATTTTTTTCACCTCGAATTCGCTTAGCTGCATGATTGATGAGTAAGTGAGAAGTGACAGGGATAAATTTTGCCAACACAGGCTGCGACATTGCACTCCGTCAATATTATCTACGTCAGCAAAAGGAACAAGGAAGAAATTCAATTCACATTTTATGTTAGGGAAGAAAAAATTCGCTGCACGAAGGTCCCCCGGCATTCGCGTGACTTGAGTAGCATCTGTCACTGCCTTTCGGATTATTCAAGGAAGTTATTCTTAATTGATTATGGATTAAGGATTTAGGGAAAATAATTTTAGTCTACTTCGTCGATTTTTCCCCGGTCCGTTAAGGTCTGTGAGAGATAATGCCGTTAATGCTACATCTCACAAAATGTTAAATATCAGTAATTTTTGCATTTTCGGAGTCCTTAATTATCTGCAAAAATGAAAAAGTGGCTAGTAGGGCATAATGACATGACCCAAATTTGTGCTCTTAAGTTTGCTTTACATACGTATTGCAAACGAACAAGCGAATTGCACATTTCTCATTCACATGAGAATAGGGAAGACGCCAGGCAATCCTACTCCATTCAAAAGTACTAGATGTATCGAGAATGGCAATTAATACAAATTATCGATGGATCAGACTCTCAGCTTCGGTTGTCGTCCGTGCCACGCATCACCGATAGCGTGGCGTTAGCGGTACTATGAGTTCGTGAGAGGGGGTGGAGATAATGCGTGAATACTGTACATATAAACTATAAGTGCACTTCCCCTCCTTGTTTCCGAGCAACAGGATGGAATTCTCTGAAAGTTTTAGTTTTAGTTTCAAATGTTTCCAAATGTCTCTGTCGTTTGTACTGCCGAAATCTCAGTAAAAAATATATACCCAGAAAACTACATTTAAGTGCCCTGTTTCCTTTATGGAAAATATTTCAGAATTAAATTCAACTTTCTTCAAAACCACGAAGTCCGAACAAGGGTTCAAATGCATGTTCTCTAGTGACACGATTGATAGATACCGGCAGGCATGGCCTAAGCTACGAAAGACCTCTGACTGAAAACTCTTCAGGACACCTTTGAGTCATCGACTATAATTCTTTCCCATATTTCCTATTCTACTGTTAACCCAGTGATGCCCAAGGTATTTTTTAAGGCTCTAAGAAAAAGGGGGTGTCACAGAGCCCCACATAAACACACCATTCCAGAAGAAAACCCACCGGTAGTAAATTTAGAGTTGCAGAGACGGACTCTCCCACCTTCCCTTGCCCGCCCTATCGAGACTCAAACAAGAATTGTCAAACACAGTCAAACTCGATCATGACAGCCTCTGTTATTAATGACACCTCGCTTATAGAGACGAATATGGCCTGGTCCCGGGCGTAAATCCTCCATAAGATTTGTGCATTTACACTTCGCTTTGAGAGAGGAATAAATATGGTTTATGAAGTTGAGCGAGAAGGAGGCAATAATCATGCACGAACGACGTAATTCAGGGAGAGATGAAACGACCACTTCCTAGAAGTGCGCTGGGGGAGAACATGGGAACAAAGGAGTCAATTCCGCTCGCTTCAAAGACAAGGACATCGAATGCATAATTGCATTCCCCTGAGTAATCCCAAAATAGGAACAGAGCACACACGGAGCGACATGCCACCCCCGTGCTGACGCTGGCGGTCTCGTTACAGGACCTGACCTTCGACGACGTTGTGGAAGAGTACTCGTACACGGAGATCCCGCTGCTATGTGACATCGGAGGGACGCTGGGCCTGCTGCTGGGGGCGTCCGTGCTCACCTTCGTGGAGATCCTCGAGATCCTATGCGGTTATGCGACTACGGTGCGACGAGTTCCTGTCAACCAGCCGGAGCAGCCGTTGTCCACCTTCAAATAATTAGATACCCTTAGCCTCCTTCGTTTTTTGTTGTTCATCATAGATGCAGTAGGTAATGAATGTGCACGAATTGCCTTCACCACTCGAGCATACACCATTCCTTTAGGGCAGGGGTGCACAATGTACGGCTAGCGAGGCCCCTTCCCGCGTCCCGTCATGACTGGTGGCGTTTTAAGTGCTATGGGTCCTGCGCTGTTGACCACAGTTATGGTCAGCCATGCTGCGGTCCGCGGTAGGTGTATAAAAATCATAAATGGCCCTCACAATCTTTCCAATTGTGTACCCCTGCTCTAGGGTGTCCCGAGATGATCTCTCTCCCGCTGATCGAAAGGTGGTTCCAAGGAGAAAAAAAAAAAAAAACAAACAAAAACAGGTGAAGATAGAAAAGAATATTTGTGTCTACCTTTGGCTGCGCCGTGCATTATTCTTTGGAAATGAAGCTTAGCCATATGGTCTGCTGTATTAATAATAACTGGTGACCTCAATTTGACATAGATTGAGTCACATGCTGGGATCATGCCAGTCAATGAGAGTCCCGCAACACCTGAGTCCACACTGAGAGTTTCCTCTTTCCACATTAACTGTACCCAACGTGTTCGTTGATGGCATGTCTGCGGTACCATTTTCCATATTTTAAGCCATGCTCCTCAACGAGACCTTGCGATATCTCTCAGCGTGCATACGCCTGGACTGAAAAACCTTGCCACGATCATGGTTTCCGAGCTAAAAATGGAAGTGTGACTGTGTGTTCCCTGATGTAACTGATGCTGGCGGTTCTGATGACGTTCCAAAGTTCCATCTCTTGGGTATTCTCCGAGGAAACGGCGATGTGCGCATCTACGTATTGCTCTCAGTATTATCCTTCAATGATATTAATATTTTCATATGTCAGTACATCTCCGTGGCCCTTTCATGGAAGTTGAGCTGTTCATAGAACACTTTCGCGGAAGCGATTGTTTGTCTCAGGGACTTCCCCACTGCCCAAAAAGAACCAATTACCTTAAGTGTAACAGTTTCTTTCTGTTGCTTTATAAGCGTCTAGTGCTGTGCGTGCGAGTCTTACCATGAGCGTGTCCATGTCCATTGTCGCTCGGAAAAAACCTGAACAGTGGCACGGTTTTTCAAGGTTGGTAGGCCGTGTTGCTTGACTTTAGAGTGACACTGGCGAAATAGAAAACTTATGGGACACACATTCCCTTCGGTCTGGAAGAGCCATCTATCGACAGTAACACGAGGCTTAAATTTGTGCAAAAATAAAAAACTCAAATATTATTATGTCTGAGTTTTTAATAATTATTTCTCCATTTGCATCATTATGTAAATTGGGAAACTGGCGACTGGCGGATAAAAACTTCCAAAAGTCTATGTCCACTTCACGTAGCATGCTCTCGAAGCTACCAAGTATTTTTGAATAGAGAGGGGTTTCAAGATTCTCGGAGACAGAGTCCCTGTGCTCCACTCTTATACGCCCTTTTGAAACAGTAAATTTATATCCCCTAGTGTCCATGGGACAATGAAGAACTAGATGGCCACAGACACATAAACACTGAGACTATGATGTGACCTCATCGCAGACACAATCGGACGTTTCCATGGCGCAGGGCATGATTGCTTTCCGGAGCACACTTTCCCGTCTCTCCATAGCGATGTCCAAGAGACTTTCCGTTAGCGTAAAAGGAGTATACATATAGGCTCTCTAAGAAATAGCTCACTAGCTGCAATAATCTGCTTCAAAAGGTAAACTTGCAAAAATAAAATAAAAATGCACAAGAAATGACTTTTCACATTTCTTTTTTCCTTCTGAGGCAGCGGATTCCCTATACCAGCACTCATCTTTCATACTAAAGTCTGTTATTTACTTTGACGTTTCTCTCACCCATTTAGCACCGCCTACATGTAAGGTGACCCAAGTGCCTGAAGCTACTCAAGTATGTGCATGTCGAGAGCCTAGATGCAAGAGTACCTAGAAATCCAGTTGCTTTTGCTTAGTGGCGATTTTACTGACATAGACCTACTTTCATTAGCACCAAGTCAAGTAACATCAGATGAAGGCGAGAAGAAGGCAACACTGCGTCTATTGTTAATTTAGCGGCTTCGAGGATGGGATATTGTAATTTTTTTCTGATAATTTATTTTGCATTTGTAACATTTACGAGGAAATAGCGAGGGGATTTTCTCCCGTTGCTGCTGCGGCTTTGACGATGGATATGTGAATGAATGAACGCATGCATGAATGAATAAGTGAAAATGTATGAAATCATGTATGTGAGTTCTCTCTATTGATTTTGAAGGCTTCTTGACATTGTTCGATCCGCGATGAGAAATAGATTTTTATTTCTCCATGTGTACAAATTTCGGTATAGGGAATAAATATGCTGTACGAAACGGAAGCACCAAGAACTCTGCAATCGGTCTCTCATTTCGACGAGGGAAAAGGCCTGGCTCATTATAGACCTGATTCACAACTCGCCCGCCCTGATTTTGGCGTGCAGAATCAAATCCAAAAGGTTGATGCTGTTACTTTGCATACCCGCCCATTTCATTATTATCCTATGGCAGGCATCGTGATGGGAGACTTCAATGCAGATTCCATTTTGTTTTAGGAAGATTACCCAATTAAAACATGAACGTTCTCGGGGATGTTCACTCTAGCTTCAAATAGGCTTTTGAACTGAAAAAAAAATCCAAAAGCTACTCATCCATGAACATTGAACGTCCAAAAACCTCTTAGAACACAGGTTGAACATCCATCGAGAACGTTCATTTGTTGGCCTTTTAATTAGAATCCCGAAACCTCCCTCCCTTTTTTCATATTTTGAATCTGGCTTCCCACCCCAAATGGTTGGTAATACCATGTTCCTCAGACAAACCCTGAAATATCGATAATTGCCAAATTATATTTTTTTAATAGTCGCATTTGACTTTCTTGTCAAAAATGCTTTTATTTCAAGTCCGACATCCGCCACAACGGCACATTTGACTTTCCTCGTGGCATTTGGCTTTCTTGTTTCAAAATTTGACCTAAAAATGTTCACGTATTAAGTGGGAATAATCTCGGTATGAATACAAGGCAGGGATTTACAAATTCTATGTTCGGTCTCGTGAGTTGACGAAGAAAACTCCAAAATAAAAACTGATGGAGAGTTATGATTCAGCCCAAAAAAATTTTCCTCACGATCCCATGGCCGTAATAACAAAATGTAAAAAAAATGATACGAAGAGGAACACGGACAAACACAAGAAACACAGGAAAACAGTCACAGATCCAGGAGAAACTCCCCTCGAGAAACTAAAGACTAAGCAAGCGAACTCGAGCGATCTAAATGATGAATGATCTAAATCCTCTCTCCATTAGCCCAGGCTCACCCAGCACGTTATTCTCTGCCTTTTCAACTCCAACTCTCCCGGTGATCCCCCCTTCATCTCCCGATTTTCCCGATCTCCTTCGGGTTTGGAGGTTCTGTCTTTGTAACGCGATTCTTGATTGGATGACTTCTGTAGCACCCGAGTGACTAATCATCTTCCATTCTTGGATGCTTAATGAGTTCCCAGGAATAATGGAAAAACAATTTTAATTCTTCTATCGTCCATTCGTCATTCAGTGGCGTTAGTGAACCGGATAGACGAGAAGGACGGTGGTGTGAGAAAAAGAATGATACCTTTTGATCTATGGCGATCCAAGACAAGTGTCAAAAGGAATCAACGTTCGTCCGGAGAACCACTTCATTAAAGGATGATTATTGATGTGGTAGCATTCGTCCAGTCATCCAGATACTCATCGTTCGACATGCCGTGACATGGACTAATGGGAAGGAACACTATATAAACTCGCCTTCGAACTTCAGGAAAGAGGAGGAGGAGGGGGTGAGAGGACAGAGTGTTCCAGACTTCGCTACTGTCACAAGTGTCAGGACTAGGGTCCCGTTTGTAATCTGGAACCTGCTATTTCTATTCGATTGGGGCAGAGTACCTAAGTGCTAGTTGAAGCCGGACTTAGGCGGATCCGGTTGGAGCCATATCCTGTTCCTTGGTGGTTGAAGCCGAAAGGAACGATCAGAAATAGCAAGGACGAGATCGGAGAGTGTGCGTGCGACGGTTGGAGCCCGAGCAACCCCTTTCGATTTCATTGCGTTAGCCGTGATTTCAATAAATCACGAGATTAAGATGCGAGCGCTGCTGCATCGATGGTGAGCTAGTTTTTGTTGATCTTTTCTCAGAACTTCATTGTGTTTTTGCGAACTGAAGCTGTCGCCTTTGCTTGGTTGTGCTGAGGATATTAGATCATTGTTTGACTATTAATATCTCTGATTAGAAGAACGTAAACCTTGACATACAATCCATCGTTTTAATCTTATATATATTAGATACACTTCGGACCAAGCGAATCCTTAGAAACGGGTTCCATTAACTAAGGCATAGCTGGTGATGCTTGGAAACCAAAGGGAGCAAATTCTCAAAATCAGTAACGATAAGGCAGTTTGCCAGTAAGATCATAAATACCTCGTGTGATTTAGTCTTACCGGCCACGCCAGAGAGTACCGATCGTTACATCTGGCGCAGTCGCTTGTCATGAAAATTTGCCAAGATACGAATCTGTCAAAATTCTGGTCATTGTTTCAAGCCAACTAATCTTCTCATAGATTGATAGTTGGACGTGCAAGAATGGCAAAAGCACCAGCAGTGCCAGCTTTTCAGGATTTGGTAACGTCCATTCCTAAATTCACTAGTGAAAAGGGTAGTATCCGAATTCAGGACTTCCTAGATAAGGTCAGTATGGCCAAGAATCTTGCGGAGTGGAAAGATGAACAGGCAATCCACATTCATATTGCTAAGTTAAAGCTGGAAGGCATGGCCGCTGATTTTATTCGGGGAGATGAAAAATTGCGCGAAGCTAAAGATTTCGCGGAAATATGCAAGGGATTGAAAGTACAATTTGGGAAACCTCAGACTCTCCCGAGTCTTACGTATAGGTTTACAGAGTTCCGTCAATATCCCGACGA